CTAGATATTATTTTGACTTTGAGTGTCTTAATCTGTTGGAAGTCTCATTTGTATAAATTAAAAGTAGACGGAATGTTGTTTTATATATAACTATAAAATATATTATATTTTATAAAACATATAAAATATGTAAAAACATGTTTTATAGTTATATATAACTGCATATAACTATATAATATCTATGCCTTTTTAGTTTCTCAAGTAAAATTCAACAAACGTATTACCTTTTATAAGACTTAATCAAACAGAAATTCTATTAAAATTACTACATCAAAAACATTTCAAGAAACCCTGTGTAATTCTCTGTTCTCATCATAAGAAAACAGAGTCCTAGAACAGCTTTTCTAAGTTTAAGAGGACATTATCCTTGGAGATGACACACATGAGGAGGAGCCTTTGTAACTGTTTGAACAGTTGATTAATCTTTAAAAGCCTAGCATCTTGCTAGACATTTGGGATGCTTTGATGGAAGTTCAAGGAAATTGGATCAAAAATTTGCTAGTTCAGGTCTTCTGAGCCAGAACTACTGGGTGTCAACGTGGCCCTTTATGCTTGGTTCTCTTTCACAGTTCTGGGTAGACCTTTTCACTCAAAGACTTGTCTTTGGGGAGCAAATTGGGCTTCCTGTTTCATTCTTTCTCGGGTAGCTTAAGTTTCAGGTTGTTAAGTAGTCCTTGCAGTACCTTTAGAAACTTGGAAATCTGATGTTAAAATATTGCACTTAAAGTAATGTGCACATATAATTTGCCCTTTGACGTTTGTTGTGACCAATGTGTCATTGTTTGTTTTCCCAGGTATCTGTTTTGTTCACTAGTTTAGGAATGATTTCTTCAAAGTTGAATATATTTCCATAAAGTGCATATTCAACAAAGATGCCATGCAATTTCAATTCCACCCAGCATTAAGGAATGCCTGCATTTAAATAGTTGTAAAATACTCAATATTCTCTGCAGTACATCAGTATGACTATGATGAAGATGTGGAATTGGGCAGTTTTCTAGATGACTCCAATGTCACAGAATGAAAAAGCATCCCTCTTCTTCAGCTCCTTATATTTCATGAGGCTGCATGATTTAAATTATGTTTTTTAATGGAAATACTTAAAAACAGAATTGAGAAGCCTAAGTAATATAGCTCACTAAAGACACAACCTTTTAAATTCATTAAAATGTACACAAAAGTGGCAGCACACCAGTAACAATGAATGACAGACATTTATCAGACCTGTTAACATAACCTTTATATACTCACTTTGGGTGAGATGATTACCATTTAAGTTATATCTTCTTCTGAGGGGGGGGCGTATCTACCTATTACTCAAAGATGCTTCATAGAATTTATACAGAAGGAATGAATGAACGTGGCTTTTGATTGTTTACCCACAGGATATTTGGCTGGCTTCTGTCCCTGTTGCCAACAAGTATTTCGATGCTTTCGTTTTTAATGATTCAGGAGTTGAAATCAGTATTTGCATGTCAGTGTCATTGCTGGGGCCAACACAGAAAGCTGCCTCCTTTCCTTTGTGGTATCTTTCTAATGCTGATAGGTGAATATAACATTTTATCCACTATAATAATGAACCTCATTTGCATGCAATTATGAAAAAGGATCATTTCTCAGATATTTTTAAGTATTTATGTACAGTTGGTGAAAGTGGGAAACTTTGATATTTAGAGAACAATGTCAGGTATTATTTCTGGTTTTAAAATACTCCCTGCCCTTAGAGAAAACCAGTCAACATTTTCCCATCCATGTCTAAAAATGCTAAGAGTGGGGATGAAAACATGGTGAACTGAAAATAGCAAAATGAACAAACAGCAAACTAAAAGTTTTGACATTTAATTTAGTTTAAATTACAATCACATTGTTCAGACAACAAAACATCTGGATTACTGCTTTTTTTACAGTGCTTTGAACTGATATCTTGGCATTTCAAAAACTCGGGCATGTGATGCCAGTGAACACTTTAATGAATGCTTTTGACAATTATAACTCTGGTTAGCCAGGTAAAAGTTTTTCTCATTAAAAGGTGAGTAGTCAATCAGAACTATAGGATTGAGCCTACCCCATCTATATTCCATCTACTATAGACAAAATATATATTCTCTTCCATGAAATGGTGACTGACTATACTAACTATCAAAACAAATCTTTGGCCATGAGATTTGTTTGTACTCTCAGTGCACAGGCCTAAAAAGTAAATAACACCGTAACAGATTGGAAAGCTGTTCGGAGCATTTTGAGCCTTGAGCCTGGCACAGTGGGAGAGCATCGCAGTGCATGGTGGGGATAGCATGCATCTTAGAAGCTTTTTAGTCGCCCCAACTAATGGAAAGAGGGTATGAAAGTCTTTTTTTTAAAGATTTTTACTTATTTTTAGTGAGATGAGACAGGAAGGATGAATAAAAGGAAAGAAACATCAATGTGCAAGAGAAACATGGATCCGTTGCTTCTCACACACCCCCATTTGGAAACATGGCCCGCAACCCAGGCATGTGCCCTGACCAGGAATCAAACTGATGACCTTTTGGTTTGTGGAACAACATCCAACCTACTGAGCCACACCAGCAAGGGCTGGACATCTTCACATTAGCAATAAAGTTAATAAAACACGTAGTAAAAAGTTATTTATTTAACACATGCTACCCTCAGCCCTGTGGAAATAAACAGCTAAGTGGATGAGAACTCTGACAACTCAGTACTCAAAGTGGGTGCTAACAATAAGATATAGGAGAATGTTGATTTGTATGTTTAATTAGGGCCATGTGAGGCACACAGGCTTTGTTCCAAACATTCTAGCAGTTCATTGAGTTTTCCAGGAGTTCAGGGGAGGGAAAGTTCATTTTCGACTTGGCTTAATCAAAAGAAAAAAAGTATCTTCATGCAAAGTTTGGGACTAGAAAGTGAAATGTCCCAGACTTGTTTATTTTTCTCCTACCTATCTGTCTGTGCCTAGTTAGTCTAGTTGACCAGCTTCTTCTTCATGTAATCTAAGCTGCTGGAGTTCCTTAAGGCTCTCCCACTTTTCTTCACTGCTTTCTCCCTAATCACATCCATGCCCACAGCTCTCCTTAGCATGTATACATAATGGCATTCAAATACACAGCTCTAGATCGATACTCTCCCCAGCGCCAACTGCTTTGACTGGTATGTTTCAAAGTTACTTCAATAAAACATCTCTAAGATGTATTATGTGCTCTTCCTTCTCAAGCCTAGCCCTCACTAGCATTTTCTTTCTTAGAAAATGACACCACTGTCCAACTCCTGCTCAGCCAAACACACAGAATCATTCTTAACCCTTCTGCCTTCTCTGTGCTCCATATCCAGTTTATTATCGAGTTGTATCCACTTCACTTCTACATGAACTCTATAGTCTTTACTCCCACTACACATTCTTAGTCTACTGTAGTGGCCTCTCAGGTGGTTTCAGCACACAAACTGTGATACTCACTCTTAACTGTCCTCCATTTATTCTCCACAATGAGACAAGTTTGGGTTTTCCAAAATTCACTGTGACGTGAAAGAAGCCATTCTGAAAGACTATGTAACACTCTGGAAAGTGACTTAGGAGACAGTGAGAAGATCATGGGCTACTGGAGGTTAGCGGGAAGTGACAGATGAATAGGCAGAGCACAGGGAATTTTTTAGGGCAGGGAAGCCATTCTGTTAACTATTATAATGGTGGCTACAGGACATAGAATGTACGACACCAAGAGCAAACTCTAAACTACAGGCTGGAGCGATCATGATGTGTGGATGTTGGTTCGTGGGTTAATACCAAACACCGCCGCACTGAGGGATTTCGATGGTGGAGAAGGCTGTTTAGAGGAGAAGGTATATGGGGACTTTCTGTACTTTTTTCTGCACATCTGAAAGTACTCTAAAAATAAAGTTAATTTAAAAATTCATTTGATCTTGCTTGCGTCTCTTCCTCGCCTCCTGAAAGTGCTTTATTACCTTCCCAGTGCAGCTAAAATTACAACTGGACGTCATTCGCACAGCCTCTCTCTCCCTCTGCAGCTTCACTTCCTCTTGCTCCCTTCTCACCCTCGCTCTGGTTTCCAGCCACTCGGGTTCCGCTCAGGGATGAATGTTCATGTGCAGTTCTTCCCCGGGGCTCTCTCCTTCCGCCAAGCCAATGTCTGTGAATCCTTTAGACCCGAGCCTGTCCTTTCCTAAGGGTAGGCTTCTCTGAGATCAATATCCTTCTGCCGAGTTGGTACGTTTTGCTCTATTTTGCATACCAAAACCCAAGTTATTTCCTCAAAGCCCTTACCACTTTTACATTTAGACATTTATCATAATTAAATACTTATGATATTATTGCTCTCCCCAGTAAAGCATAAGCACCAGGAGCAAGTGCTCAGTCTATTTTTGCTCACCACTGAGCCTAGTGCAGTGGCGGGAGCCCACGAAGTAGTCAGTAGATATTCGTTCAGTGGGTGACTTGAAGAGAGAATAACTGCCAAATGAGGTATTGGTATGTTGCTGTTTTCTCTAGCCATTAGAGGTTTGCAATCACTAAATATGTATTACTCTGTCCTCTCTGGTTGGGTGGTCACTCAAGAAAAGAAACATTCTATTCTCTGCTTAGTACCAGATGCAAAAATAAAGTCACGGTGTGTTTAGCCATGGGGCTGCCGTGGACTCCTCCACTAGGTGCACTGGTGGTAGCCAGCACCACACGGCCATTTATTTTCAGAGGCCTGTTGCAATTTATTTACATGGGGTGTCCACTGCACATTTTCCCTGACTTCATTAATGATGACTGAGATGAAGAAACAATTCCCATACTTTCCAGGTAACCTACGCAATTTGTCTTAATTATTGTCAGCCTTAGACAAGTAACCACTGTGGGGATCCTAACCACTCACCCCAGTAGTAATGATGTAGATTGTGAATTAATAGCTATGGGTTTTTTGGTTCTTTGACATGCACTTCTTTTCCCAGTTGAAATAATTTACACATACACACTAAATGATTGCTTTTCCTTATTGCAGTCGGTCCTTTCCCATGGCACTGTGGCTGACTGCGCTGTTGTTGGCAAGGAGGATCCTTTGAAAGGTCATGTTCCCTTAGCCCTCTGCGTGTTGAGAAAAGGTGAGAGAGCTTTGTCCTCCCTGCCTGTCTGGATCCTGAAGGATTAACTAAGGTTAAATCCAGTGCTTACCATCTGAACTTTCTCCCTAGGTATAGATGCAACTGAGGAACAAGTGTTGGAAGAAATTGTGAAACATGTTAGACAGAGCATCGGCCCTGTGGCTGCTTTTCGAAATGCAGTTTTTGTCAAACAATTACCCAAAACTAGATCTGGCAAAATTCCCCGGTCGGCTCTGTGTGCCCTTGTCAATGGCAAGCCTTATAAGGTAAGTTTTCAAGGATGTTTAGTGCTGGGTTCTGACATGGTTTTTCCCCATTTCTTTGACATCAGCAAAGATCTTAAAAGTGGTTTTCAAGCATGAATTGTATCCCTACAACACACATAATAGCACTTTTTAAAATAGTAAGTGAGAAGTCACATAGTCACTCTTTCTTTAGGAATAAAGGTTTGGGAAAACACAGATTAATTAAAACCATATGCTTTGAGAATACAAGAATTCGTGTGTGAAACTATTTTTACTGTGAGTAAATATGTGAGTTAAATGCAAATAAACTTGTGGAAACTCAATCTTAGTGAATTAAAGGTACATTTTCCTTCATTGTAGTCAATAGTGGCCATTAGTGAGAAAGCAAGTAACCGAGGCTGGCTGTACATGTTTACACTCTTCTAAGTGATACATATGCTACTTGTATTGAGTTAAAATTATTTTAGAAAATTTTAGGCTAATTCAAGCATATATATTTTTTAAAATTTGTATGTTATACATGCACAGATATACATATTTTAATAGTAGAGTAGTTGTATGAGCAAATGCAAAAAGAATTTCTTTTCTTTTTATAGAGGCACATAGAAAGCCCCATAACAGGAATTCTGGAGAAAACAGTATGAAGGACCAATAGTTTTGCTAATAGAACAGTTTATTTTATCACTCTGGAAACTGTAGCTGTTTAAAATACATTTAAAAATATTAGGTTCAAAGTTTCCTATTTTTGAACATTTCCATATGAGTATCATAAGATAATGGGAAATACAACATTGCACCTGATTGGTTAATCACAGGGATGGTGAAAGGGGTGCAAGGAAGTGCATTCATGTCTTCCCCCCCTTTTTTCCCCCAGATAACACCTACTATTGAAGACCCCAGCATTTTCGGGCACATAGAGGAAGTGCTGAAGCAGGCATCATGACTTTTTGAGTCAATTTTTCTAATTGAGGTTGACTTTTTAAAAATTATGTCCCAGAAATAAATATTTAAGTAGAAATTACTAGCCATCCGGAATGGGACTTGTGAAGCTTGGTCTAAAAGAAGACACTGGAAACTCTAGTGAAAGATCAGTGCCTTGTGTTTGATTAGACTCAATGAGCGTTGCTATCAATTACCTGTAATGTGACTCATTATAGTTTGTCTAGCACTTTAATTTTAGAAAAATATATCTAATGTATGATTTTTAAAAAGTGTTCTTCCCACCAAAAGCATTTTAGTTGAAGATGACATTAATATAGAGCTGTTTCCTAAAATCAGAAATCTGCAGCTTTGACCCAAAACCTAAAACTCAAGTCAAAGTCAGAAAATAATTACAATTTTTCTTATGGAAATTTGCAATGTTTTCTAATATTTTTGACATGACCACATGCATGATCATCATCTAATTAGGTGATTTTCTAGGTAGGGAGGCCTGTTTAGTCATTTCTTGAGGGAAGGCTGATAATGACCATTATAAGATACTGACTTCCAGGGCACAGCTCTGGGGTCAGGTCATTTGTTATTCAGTCAAGGGAAATCCCCTGCCTGGGTCCTCCATCCTTTCTCTTTGTCATGGAGACAAGGGCTCCCAGGAGCCCCGCCTCCTGGCTCCTGTTCTTAGTTGACTGTCCACCTAATGATTCCGGCTTTTATGGAAACAAGAAAATGATGTAGAAATGAGGTGGGCTAGCTAAGAAAGCTCTTCAGGAGGACATGTAAATTACATTATGCTAAGAGAAACAAATAAGTACAGATTTTCATGCAAAATTTATAATTGAAATAACCCACTAAAACAATATTATGACACCAAAGTATATCCATTTTAAGCTTCTATAAAACTATTGAGAATTATTGTTTTTTAATTAAAAGAGTTTTGTTAATAAGCTTATGGTAGTGTGCCAATTAACCTGAATGGACATATACAGATAATTCAATATGTGGTTTACATAGGGGTGGACATGTTATCCGTAATCAAAGAATACATTTAAACACAAAAAAATACACCATGCCCACTGAGTCTTTGATGGTACTCAAACACTACTTAACCCTTCAGTCCAACAGGGACGTTATTTTCAAAGAGCAGCTGTCCTAACATAATAGCCTGCCTACATCAAGTATATGTCAGAGGTAATAAGTAAAGGGCTTATTTACTTGTTTGTTTTATACAAAATGCTTACAAACTGTATAAAGACATTTTGACATAAAATATTGATGACTTCTCAAGTCAATTCCTATTAGCTTAAGCTGGCTTCCTGATTGCTACACATGGAAACAATACATTTATCTAGTCATTCCCACTAATTTTTTAATAGCCTGAGTTAAACCAACTAGATAGACAATCAGTTTATAATTTGACGCCATTGGGCTCCTTAAACTGTAGCTTCTATTGGGTACATTTAGTCCATTATCACATCTGTAATCTTAACAAATAATCCATGTTTAATGTCTTAGCATTTAATTTTATTGCCTAACGCTTTCATATGAGATTCAGTTAATTTGAAATGGCAGCTTCTTTATCTGAAAATGTATTAGGTGCAAGGTACAAACACAAAGTGTATTGTACTGACGCAAGCAGTGAGTGAAGGTGCACCTTTGGTCATTCCTGGGAGTCAGAGTCTGTTCTTCCTGGGAGTCACAGCTGGAGCACACTTCCCCAGGCAGTGTGGGCTGTTTTCCAGTGGGGTGGGAGGAGAACAGTGCGAAAAACTGGGAAAGTGGCTTTTTCTTGTATGCGATTGAGGAAATTTATCTCCTTTGCAGGGTCAGAGAAAATAATGTTACTTTCATATTAATAAATGTGGGGCAAGAGAGACAAGTCATCAGACTGTTTAATTTTGGAAGGAAAGGTAAATTTTCTATTTTAATAGTTTAATCATAAAACACTTTTACTACCCAGTTCCTAAAATATTTAGAATGAAATGTATCTTTAAAAATAACGATGTAATGTTACTAAAAATCCAATCACATTTAAATCTGCTGAAATAAATTCTCTGTGATCTTCTTTCGTATTTCCGTAATTGTTTTTTACTGTAAGACATCGGAAAAATTAAAATATAAATATTTTCTTTTAAAATCTATAGAGTGTTCTTCAATTGGGCTATTTTGCTCAAGAAAATATATTGGGTATATACAATCAAGACCTGTTTTATATTTAAAAAGCAGCTCAATTCATATAAAATTATATTTGTAAAGGTTTCAATCGCTAAAAATGTGAAAATTCATAATGTTGCTAGATGGTCATTAAATGGATTTTACAATCTGACAGACACTATTCTGTACATTGAAGAGTACTTTATGCTTATTTGAAACAAATAACTGCATCTTTTTTATCCCTATATATTGGAGTGCATTATAAATGATTAATATTTCTCGATGGTGATGACCTCTCTCTTGTATGAGTAGATGCAGATCTAGTTTACATTGTTGCAATATTATAGTTTCTAGTTATATTTCATTTTTGTAAGTCAACATCCCCATGTTCGTTTGAGCTACAAAAGCTCTTTCCCATTGTTTTTGCCCTGATAGTGTTTCCAGAAAATTTAAAATCACTCTCATTAGCAGGTTTAGGTCTCCCTCTTGTGGCCAGCTCACTTTTGAGGAGAGGCCCTAAAAACAATTTTAAGTCAATTGTTAAACTTTATGTGACCAGAAAACAAAGCTTAAACAAAGAACTGGAAGTATTCTTTTTTTTTTTTTATTGACAATGGAGAGGGTTCTGTTACCATTACCTTTTGACTGAATCTGCTTAAACAAAAATAGACATCAAAACAAATGTAATGTACGTGCAAACATAGCAAATTAAATACAAAAATGGAATTACTCATGACAGGTCTTGCGCTTCATAAGATCAAACAGCAGAAAATCAGCAGTTAGATAAATGTATTTTTAAATAGGTTTTACTTTGAAATCTCCCATATAAACAAAGAATAAACAACAGTAACACCACCAAATAAAGCCACAGGGAAGAGATTACTCTTCTATACTTTATACACTATATATGTTAGTCATTCTGTCTCTCGTTTATTTCCTCTGATAAGATTGACTTCAGGGAAGTCAAAACAAGGCTATCTTGGCTAAAAGCTTATAATATTAGACACGAGTCCGGCTGCTGCCCTGTTACACGGACAGAAGGGAGGGGGTCTGGGTTTTGTTTTCTCCAGTGGAAACGAGCTCAGACCCTGCAGTGGCACGTTCACTAAGCAGTGCTGGCTGGCGGGCGGGCGGTTCGAGACCATCTGAATGAGCATGTGGTTCTCAGTAAAGGAAATTTTTTTATTGGTCCACAGGTAACAAGAGAAGATAATGGTTTTTTTATTTATAAATTTTTTAAATAATTGTTTTGACTCTTGTAAACAGTTTGGCTTTGTTTTCTATTGAAAAGGAGATCGAGCCATCACAGTGCTATTTCTAAGGATAGAGGACGTCCCTGATTGCCTTTAAAGGTCTATTTTTGGCTCCAGTTCCAGGTTAAATCATTCTTTTTTACATGATCAGAGGCAGGTTTTCAGCTTTAAGTATTGACAGACTTGAAGGTGAAGCGTGGAAGCATGAAACATGCTTCCAGGAAATGTCGGTCTGACTGTTAGAATTCAAAAACTGTAAAAATGGTGGAATGGTAAAATACAAACAGTATAGAGTATTGTCAAATGTTTGTACTCAAGACTCCATGAACCATAGATTTCATTTTTTAGAAAATCATATTTATATCCATTTACATAAGACTTACACATTTAAAAAGAAATACATACACAGTCATACATAAATGCCTAGTATATTACAATAAAACATGAAAAACAAGTGGCTCCATTTCATAAAAGCATCTCTTGTACAGAATTTATGATGTGGATGATGTTTATTATTCAAATGACAGAAGCATTTTCTTACACTTGTCATAAACTAATCAAACTTAATATGTGACTTCCCCCCAAATCACATTTTCAGTTTAATAAACCATTACTTGTGGTTATTTCCTTAGCCTTCAGTCTTCGCGAAGGTGTTCGCTGCTCCTCTTCTTAGGTGGTAGTGCACTTTAGGTAGGGTAGACTGAAAAGACGACATCTAGAATATTCAATGGACAGCGTCAGGTCACCGGAGGGCCCCGGGCTGGGGAGCCCACCCCGCTCCCCTTGGTGTCCCTGCATGCAGCCTGCCTCCTTCTGCCCTGAGAGGTAATGAGCAGGGTGTCATCTAGGATGTAACCAACAGGTGTGTGTAATGAACATTTGCTCTTCTCCAATTTTGTGCAGGCAATGTCAATAAATAATATTTGCTCAATTCCGTGGGAAGTATGGCAGTAATATTTTCAGAAAGGTGTTAACACAAAATATTAGCAGTTCTTCTGACAAATGTATGGCTTGGTCATCAATAAATTGGGTGTCGTTGACCTATTCTATGGAATATATTTGTATTCTGGCTCATATTTTAGAGCTCTTATAAAGATACTTTAATTTCAACAAAACATAATGATAATAAATAACATATTTAAAGAATCTGGGTCAGTGATGAGGCATCATTGATATCTCTTTCTCATAATATATTTAGAAAAAGTTCATGATTACTTTTCCTGACAAAAAATAATAAATTTGTTCTTAATTTAATAACAAAAGTGCTAATGTCTCATCAAAATAAAAAATCGGTTGTCCTAGGTTAACTTAATGTAAATAAATACCTTTCTCCCATTTAATGGTAAAAACTAGGAAATATAAACTTGAATGCCGTGCACAAAATACAGATTGCAAATAAAAAATTATTCTACCCATCAGTCAAGAGCTTAGAAGCAAATACTACTCAACATATTAAATAAGTCATTTGTAAGATAGTGAATTATTCATTTCTGGGAAAATTATCATGTGTAGAAGGTATTACAAAGAGCATTTTGGAAAGCCTCTTGTTTAGCCGAATTAGCCAAATTATTTTATCCTTTAGATCATGCCTAATTAGATGCCAAATTGCATGCCATAATTAAAATTTTCGTGTTAGGGTTTTATATTCCAAAATGAAATATCTTATCTGAAGGCTTTTTGTTTTATCATCAGCACCTTCAAACAGTGACCTGAGAGAGGCAGCGTGGCAGCTCCCATCCTAGGCCCCAAAGACCAACAACAAATTGTGTGGTGCTTTTAGTTCAAGGCAATGAATAAACAGCACAAGATGAGCTGTTCCTCTGCCTATAACTGCTTCCTCGTTCCTTCTCTGCACATACATTTTGTTCTAATATTTGCCCTATAAAATATGTTTCCAAAATATTAATTCATTGTAGATGGTAAAATATTTTGGTAAAACAAGGTTTTAGGTTAAAAAAAATGTTCTATGAGAACTTGCCATCTTTAATCTAGGAGACCACAGTTTTACTAAGACTGCCAATAGAACCCCATTTTGGTATAGATTTGGAATCTCATCAGTTAATATTTCTGTAAAAGAAAAATGTCTCGTATCTCATGGTATGTATCAAGGTTTGCTGTTAGTCCTGTCTGTCCTTCTTACAGAGTAATTTAACTTTGTTCTCATGCTGCTAGCCCAAGGCACTTAAAATTCATATTTATTTTCAACAAATATAAATCATATTGATGAAAAACCACATATTAAAAATTCAAAATTTCCAGTTATTCTTTTTTAAAAGATATAAAATCACCTGCAAATCTTTTTCCACCTCTGCCATTATTTGACTCTGAAAATCACTGTTTATTTCAGCTTCCCCTATATAAAATAATCAAAGTGTCTTATTCTTTAATTGCCACACTCTCACCAGTAAATATTGCCATGTGCATCAGTATGAAATGTACTACACAGTAGGAGAGTGTGGCAGCAACCCGCTGACACGTGCTAAAGTGGTGCCAGGCCTCCAGCAGACAGGCCTCAAAGGACAGCAGACAGACGGTGATAGGAAATCCTAGAGTAAGAGTTAAAACATGAAGATTCCTTTCCACCCTCTAGGAAGACAGGTGTTACCTCCCTTCTGTACTGCTAGGCCATACCAAAGACTACGGTGTATATTGTGTAGTCTGTGCAGGTTTCGATTTTTGTGGGCATTTGTTTTTTGTCAGCCAAGGAAAACTACTCACAGCAAGTCAGTGCTGCCTCCTTTGAGTGGCTGGTCAACATGAGTATGTGCGAACAGTGGAGTTGTCTAACCTCTGCAGCCTGGAAGAAGCAACTGCAAACGGAGAAAAGGGCTTTAGAGGGACTTGGATGATGGAGTACAAACTTTCAGATGAGAAGGATTATGTTCCCTGCATAAAGGGATCCTGAACACCTTAGGTGTTCTTTCTCTCAGGTATAAGCCACTCCTATTCCTCTTCTCTAGACCAAGTTATTAATGAAAGTTTATTCCAAAGTGATTTCACGGAGCTTTGGAGCTGTGTATCCTTCTTAGATGAAACCGGTAACAAGAGCAGCTCCCCAGGGGGCTTCTGGTTTTCAAGCAAAAGTTGCTGTTGGAGAATTTATTAGGGTGGATGTTTTCCCCTCCAAGTATTGAAGAGCTTCTGCACTAATTTTAATCATGTTAAAGTCCTCATAAATTTTGCTAGCATGTCCTATAATATTAACAAGTTAGAAGAAATGTAAATCAAAGACCACAGTTTATATCAGAATGAATTATAAGGGCCATAATAACTATAAAACTTAAAAAGAATGATTCTAGGTGATTGTCTTAATAAGGAGAGTGGGCTATTTGTTTTTTAAATGCTTACCAAACAGAAACAGCTCTGTGACTAGCAAGTCTAACTGTCTCTCCTCCAGAATGGCTGGTTTCTTTGTGAAGTGTGTAGCAGAAATCTAATGTCCACAGAAGGAAATGCTCATTGGGAAATGACTGTTGGTTTTGTGTTTGTTTAATTCTCTTCTCATGGTTGTGCTTGTTTATTTAAGGCCTACTACCTTGCTCAAAGCTGGGGATTTCTGATGAGTCTGGGTTTCTAAGATTAAGTATAGAACTTGAAATATTCAAACATGTGGGATGAGAGTGGAGTTCATTTCCATTTACTAGATCTAACTAAATGAATTATTTACTTAGGAATAGAAGAGTAAAGAAACACAAAGCATGCAGGTGTTTATCATTGTTCCTAGATGTGGACATTAGCCAAAACTGTCCTTTTTGAAATATTATAAATCATCTTTAAAATGTGCATAAAGGGCCATGAATTCATGCATTAGCTGTTTACAAAAGAGTGTGGTCTGATGAAAGCAAAGTAAACTTCAAGCAGAGCAAACCAACTCAAGAAGACAATTCCAAAAAGCTATGCAAGGTCAGAGAAGATGCTAGCATTTGCTAAACAAGCTTTTCACTTTATAAGCAGAAATGCAAAACTGCTGTACCATCCGTTGTCATTTTCCTCGACTGCCCAGATGTGGTGGTTAACCTAAATCCGGCCGGCAGGGTTTCCGAGGACCCCGGCATCATGCTGATCCCGTGCACCTCGCGGGCAGGAAACTGCCGCCTCCAGGTCGACCCGCGCCTGAAGTTCTTGTCATCGCTCTGCTGGTACAGAGTTAAAAACAGGTAACACTGTTTATTTACATTCAGCTTGTCAAATATACATGTAGAATATTATGCTTTATTTTGAGAGTTCTATTGATTACAAAATGAAAATGTAGGAAATTCAAAACAAATGTTTTACTAAAAAAGTTTTCATACAATTTCAAATCTAAGGTTTGTTACCTTGTACGTGAAACATCTTTGGAAACATAAAATAAAACTCCAACTTTTTTCCAAAAAGTGTACACTGAGGATGGTCTGCTGTACTATATAGAAATTGGTTTTATGGTATCAAATGATACACTTAGTGGAATAAATATTGGCTTATACACTCAGAAAACCATTCATGAATTTTGCTTTTATGTGTCCAAAAGATACATGCTATAAGGAGTCTATTTTTCATATAGTCTGGCTCATGCGGGCTACTATAACCTATAGTCTGTGTAAGAAACTCAGTTTGTCACATGCTAGATTTTAGCCGATATGGAATTGACTTAATTTGTTGACAAATGTGAGCAGCCTGGACACTATCTTTGTAATGAAGACATGTGCTCTTGAGATGCCACTAAACACATAAAGTAACTCCGGCTGCTGATTCTATTACATATTGATGATAAAACTTTCCCCACTCTGTGTATACACAAAATTCCTACACAGATACATTTATTTTGCTATTCAATTACATTGATAACCAGCAATCTGTAATTTAGTATTCAACTAATATTATTCTTTGCATCTAATTCTAAGGAAAATATTAATCATTCCACATAGATCTTACCTTTTTATATTACTAAATCTCCCATCCAGGGAAGGACCGTCTATGCCCTATGAATGTGTGGTTCTCCCTACTAACTCAGGTGGCTTCCTTTAAGCATGCATAATTATTGATATGCAGTGCAAATTTATTACTGTCATAAATAGGGAACACTCTAAGGGACTCTTCATCATAGATTGCTAATTTAATTATATAACACACAAGGTCACTTTGGGAAAAATAAAATAATGTATGTGATTGTATCTATCCACTGTTCTTGTAGAATTCTTATTATCAGTATCTACATTTTGTTCAGACTTGCTAGACATTTTGCAGTTTAAGAAATGTCTGCTATTCTTCAACTGTTGGGTTTTACATTGCCTAGATCTCCAAATGTTTATTTATACACAGAGGAAGCAAAATCTCACAAGTGTGGGCTCTCTGACTTCTTGGATCTTAGAGAAGTTGTTGCATAAACTTAAATATTCTTCAGTTCTATACATTGTTACATTACGTTGTAAGAACATACAACTTTTATAATGTATGCATTAAGGGCTCAAAAATAAGTCAGGAATTTAAGAACTAAAATCATGATTCCTTACATCTGCTCATTCGACTTAGTTACAAAAGCAGGAGACTATTGTATTTAAAAGTCTGTATGGGTATATGTAGACCTTGATTCAACAATTAAGAATAAGGATTAAAAAGATTATCAAACAATTTACAAAATTAAGATTAGTTAACTATTAACTGGTCCTTAAAAATATTACCCATTACCCTGATTGCACAGGAGGATGAATTTCAAGGAAGTTAGCCGAGGTCAAGACTGGAGAGTTTCTCTGTTAGACCTTCCTCTACAAAGGACAGATTAGAATCTATAAAACCAAGATCATCTGCCCTGCCCGTTTGAATGGGGAATTATTGCCTCATTTTAGTATTTCCTGGGTTCATTCACAAAACTATGTTAATCAGCTTTTCTTTATAGCCCAGAAACAGCTGCATTTTGCAACACAAAATTATGCATCTCTTCATGCTCAGGTTTCCACTCCCTGCTTCCAGAAAGACCCCGTAAAAACTCGGGAGGACTATTGAAGCCCACAGTGTTGGTCAGCGCAGAGTTTACTCCTGTGCCTCTGGCCTCCTCCTCTCAGGGTGCTGCTAACCTGTTCATTGTTTTCCAAGTCACATACACACGTGTATATGATGGGGAGGGATTCTTATGCTCCACATAATCCTCAAAAATTCTACATAAAATAATGAAAAGCTTCCCACTTATTGAAAGCAAGTTTTTCTTCTTCATTTTAATATCCTAAAACTTCCTGTGAAGATATACTGATATTGAAGAGATAATCAGTTCTTATTAAAAAGCTGAATTTATTAGGATTAGTTGTTATCATTACTTATAACTGAAAAAAACTGCTTTCAACATTATTTTCCATTCTCAGTCCATGGAAAAAACGGTCTGTTTTTAAATTACTTCTTAGCATTTCTAACTGCTGATGTGATCATATTTATGAATTCATGAATCTCTTTCAAAACTGAAATGAGTAATAAAATGTAATATTTAGGAACAATACTGGATTCTAGATTGTATCCATAAAGCAAGCATCTGATTAATTTCTGAGTCCTATTCCTTGAAGCCGTTTTGCTTGTCCTCCCGAGATCCCTTTGAGTGATAGAGCAGGACTCACTTCGTCCAGCCGCCGCTCCGTCCCCAGGGCCAGGAGGTTATTGTACTCCCTTTCAAGAATCTGCCTCGCCTGTTGACATCAAGTAACAGTTACCAGCACCGAAATCACATTTTCTTGAAAAGAAAATAGAGATTATATTTATCTGAGAAAGCATTACAAACCCTGTTTTATTTACGGTGTCTTAAGTTTTTAGTCTTCCATATCTACAAGCCCTTGTAAATGTATCCTACAAATAAAAGGCAGGGCAATTTCCTCTCATCTGTGAACAGCTGAGAAATGGCCTCCCATAAATGCCTGAGGTCTAGGGGCTTTCACTGCCCTCACTTTTCTGCTTTGTTCAAACTGAACATTTTCTATAAAATTTGAAACATAAACACAAAATATACAGCGAAGTTAGACTGCCAAATTTTGAATAAGTCTACGTACATAGTTCTCAAACTTAATCAATGATTATCATTTGGGGAAACTTTAGAGAATTAGGATTCTTGTGTTTTGTCTCTGGATACCTGATTTCTTAGGCCTGTGATACAGTTTGCAGATTTTATTTAAAAATTTTAAAGAACTTTGGGGATTCAAATAATTACCCAGATGTGGGAATTGATGGCATGCATACCCAGTGCTAAGTGTCTGTATAATTCAGATATGTGAATAGAAATGACTCTTGCAGAGGCAGAAATTGAAGACCATCTGTCAGGGATATTGTCTCAGGGAATCTGGCATTCAGGTGGGAGGTTGGACCACATAACCTCTAAATCCCTTCCTGCTTAATTTTATGATTTTGTTTTGGCTAGAAATTCAGTAGCTTGACATTATAGCCCCAATAACATATTTCAAAGGTTGGGCTAACTCTCATTAGGAATTATTAATACACAGCCAAATTCCCCCCGTAAAAGTTTAGCTTGTCATTATATAAATTAGGACACAGTGCAGCTGCAGCACAGCGGGGCTTGCCTGGGTGTTCTGTGTTGGAATCTGCAGTAATAAAGCTAGGCTGCTGTAGTCAAAGTTCTCATCCAGGGCTATGAGAGAGCCATGCACGCCACTTTCAAGAATATTATTTGCATATTCTCGAAGTCCAATTGCCTGGATCCAGCGAATAACTCGATCGTTGCTCCACACCAACACATCTAGGAAAAGAGATGCATTATTTTGGGCTGCAGTATCTTGCAGAGTAAACAAAAGTACCCGTTGGAAGGGGCCAAAGGCACCTGGTCAGGTCAGCACTGACGCCGATTTCTTTATCCACTCCCTAATGCACCTGGGCCCCATGTGCCAAGTATTTACTGTCCTAATAACTAACCTCGTCTACTTTTGCCCTGGAAGAAACAGTTGTCATTTTAAGGGTGTTTGTTATCATCTAAAGGAGAGCACTTCCATCACGTGAAACACAATGTCTCAAAGTGTTTCTTGTTTTCATTTAAAAGCTTGGGGAATCTGTCTAAAATGTGATACTTTTACCACCAGATGGGGATATTTCTTAATACACAGCTTCTGTAAAGAAAGCAAAAGGAGACTCTAGAAGGGGTCTTCATCAGTTTTTTTTAACCACTATTGAAATGTTTCACATAGACTAGAAGAGGCTTTTTTTTTTTTTTCATCTCAAGTAACAAACCAGAGACCAGAACAGTAAGGTAAAACAAGGACTGAATAGTTTGATACTTCTCTACCACTTTGGAAATTCATTCTTTTAAATCTCACGCTAATGCAAAAATCAAGCACTCAGTCAAATCACAAGCTGATTTTCTGATTAGCCTGCAAAGCAGTATTTTATGGAGGTATAAAACATTAATTAAACTTTACTTTCTGAAACTAAAACCTTTAGAGAAAAACATCATAATGCTTTTATTAGATGAGAACATATCAAAGTATATTTTATTATTTTCCCACTTTTTCCTGTTATTAGTTGACAGAAGGCTACATAACAAGTAAAATAGGGCCAGAATGTTCCATGGTAAAGAAAGAATTTTAAGGAACTTAAGGGGGAACAAGAAAAATATGGAAACATTTTTTTCTAACCTTATAGAAAGGGAAATGAAACTCATAATTTATGATTACAGTAAAAGTATATATTTCTGTTATTTTTTTTCTAAATAAAATTTACACCTTTTCCAGAAAAAGTATAAAGAATATCTTGGGAGTTATTCTACAACCATAACTGTTTATTTTCCCCCATTTATCTATAAGAAACAAGGTAGTATTTGGGTGGGGGAGGTGAAGAAGTATATTTACACACTGTTTTTCAAAAGCAATATTAATTTGTCGTCATGCATTCATTTTAACCAAGTGAGGTTTTCTGATGTATAACTTACAGCAGTAAAGTGACGGCCCTGCCCCACAGAGGGCTTGTCCTGTCCTTTCTCCCTCTCTATCCTCACTGTAGCAATAGTCAGTGTGACCAATACACTGACTATTCTCTTCACAGATTAGTTTTGCTTGATCTTTTTTTTTAGGTTTTGATAAGTAAAATAATATGAACTTTTGTGCCTGTGTCTTTCACTCAATATAAGATTTATCCAGGCTATGGCAAATAGCAGTAGCTTATTCATTTTCATTGGTATTAAGTATTTCATTATAGGATTATGCCACAATTTAGCCATTGTATTGATGGGTATTTGGGTGGATTCTACTGTGAGTTATTAAGAAAAATGCTGCTTTGAATATTCTTATGTAACTATTTTCTTATATTGCTTCTGTTGAGTAAATAATAAGAAATAGAATTGGTGAGTCATTTTTATACATATATTTAACAGGAGCAGATATTGCTAAATAAATTCCACTCCCACAATTTAAATCCTGGAAGCAGTGTATGAAAGTCTGCATCTTTACGAATACTTTTTTTTAATTTAGTTATTGTTCAAGTACTTTTTTTGTTTTTTAAGGTTAACAGTTTTTTAAGGTTAACAGTTTTTTGTGTTATGTATAAGAAATATTTGCCTATTTCAAAAATATGAAGATATTTCTCTATGTTAACTTTAGAAGCTTAATTTTTATTTCATTTTACTTTATTTTTTACTTTTCATATTTAAATCTACATTCCAGTTTGAATTAATGTCTGTATAGCAGAAGGTAGGGTCAGTGCTCTTTAAAAAGAAAGTGAATGTCCAGGTGACTCAGCGCTGTAAGCTGTAAAGACCACGCCCACGCTGCCACCTGTCATGAACTAAGAGTTCATGTGAGTGTGAGTCTGTTTCTGGGTTTTCAATTCCACTCCACTGTTTTATTACTTATGCCACCAAGATTATTCTGTCTTATTTACTGTAGCCTATTTACTGTTTCTAGTTTGCTAAGGTATTAATTTTAATAAATTATCTTTTTTAATCTATTTGAGAAAAATCTTGATTTTTTTCTTTATGCTGTTAGTTTAGTCAGTTACACTGATGAGATTATCAAATGGTAATCATAAAATACTTATATGCAGTAGTTTAAATCTTTTACTTAAATTATATATTTTTTCCCTCAAGATTGTCTTTTCTATTCTTGGGCTTTGAATCTCAATATACATTTTAAAGCCTGATATAGTAAATTTAAATCTCCCTTCTCATACATACCCTCTTGGGTTTTTATTGAAGACTGCACTGAATCTATAGATCCATTTTAAGGTTTTATTTAATTTCCCTCAATAACTTGTTTTAATTTTTTGTATAGGAGTCTCATAGATCTTTCCTTTTATTTGATGTTTGACTGTCCTGTTATAGTTGTTGTGAATATCTTGTATACTAGAAATATATTTGATTTTGTATTGGTATTTTAAAGTAGTCTTTGTTTTTTAGAGTATTTGTAAGTTCATAGCAAAATTGGGCAGGAAGTAAAAAGTTCCTATGTTCTCCCTACCCCCCAACATGCCCTGCCTCCCTCACTATAAAATCCCTTACCCAGCAAGACGTCTGTTACAACCGAAGACGCTTACACTGATGCAAAGCCCATAGTTCACAATGAGGTTCACTCTTGGTGGTGTACGTTCTATGGGTTTAGACAAATGTCTAATGGCATGATCCATCATTATAGCATCACACGGGATAGCTTCCCTCCCCTAAAAATCCCCTGTGCTCTGTCTCTGCATCCCTCCTTCCCCCCTAACTGCAGGCAACCACTGATCTTTTTACTGTCTCCTATAGAATGTAGACTTCTAATATAGGCTTGTTTCATTTAGTAATATTCATTTAAGTTTCTTGCACGTCTTTTCAGGGTTTGGTAGTGCATTTCTTTTCAGCTATATTGACATTTCACCTATAGATCTTGCTAAAATCAAATAGTAGTTCAAATTGCCTATCATTGGATTATTCAGATTCTCTATATAACTTTTTTATGATATAGCCAAATTTAGTTAATTAATTTTGTGCTCTATTTATTACTAAAAGGATATAATACGAAAATATTTTGTCAGTACACAGGTAGAGTTTATTCAGTAAAATCTTTAGGACATAATGAGAATCACCCTCATGTATGAATCTCAGAAATATTACATTTGAAGTAATAATTTTAAACATATCTAAAGTTATATAATCATAGTTCAACATTATATCTATTACATCATATGTGTGTATGAGTATAGAATATTGTTGTGCATAAGTATATATAGGCATATTCCTCAAAAATTACCATAGATAAAAAGTTGTAAGAGACTGTCAAAAAATAATTTGAGATACAATTAAATATATTTATTCTATTCTAGGTGATACATATATTTTATACAAACTAATAAACATGTTGTATATAAAATATCTCCAAGAATATGTTTCTTTGGTCAAGGAATCTTATTCTTATTTTTCAGGAAGAATTTTTGGTGGAACTGATGCCTCTCGGAACATCCTCAAATGTTACGGTCCTGAAGAAGTATGGAGAGTTCCAGACTTTTCTCATTCTTATGCAACTTAAAAAATTTACCTGTTTGCTTTTCTTTTTTTATTGCACTGATTGGGACTTTTCGTTCAATCTTAAATAAAAGTTGTGGTAAAGCTCTCAATATTATGTGAGAGTGTGTGTGTGTATGGTTTTTAAATTTATTTTTAGAGAGAGGGGATGGGAGGGAGAAAGAGAGGGAGAGAAACATCTACGAGAGAGAGAAGCATCAACTGGTTGCCTCACACCCCATTCTGGACCAGAACCCACAGCCCAGCACATGCCCGACCAGGAATCCAACTGGTGATCTTTCACTTTGTGCGATGATGACCAACCAACTGGTCAGGGCTGATGTTTATATATTTTTAACAGATACTCATTATTAGATCAAAAAAGTCATTTCTGTTTCTAGTTTGCTAAGGTATTTATTTTTAATAAATTAGCTCTCTTAATCTGTTTGAGGAAATCTTGATTTTTTTCTTTATGCTGTTAATTCGGTCAATTGCATTGATGAAGTTATCAAATGTTAACCATAAAATTCCTGGAATTAAACCATCTTCACCAGAATGTATTATCCTTTTTATTTATTGTTATAATCTGTTCGTCTGAAATTATCTCTTTTTAATGTCCTTGTTAGTTTTTGCTATCAAGGTTTTGCTGGTCCCAGAAAATGAAGGTGAAAGTGTTTGTTTGTTTTTTCTAATCCCTGAAAGAATACATATAAGATTTATGTTACTCTTTCCCTTAAATATTTGGAAGAATTCAATAATAAAGTCATCTGGACATGACATTTTTTCAAGAGATTTTTAAAATATGAATTTAATATTTGTGTAATAGTTATAGAACTATTGTATTAACATTTTTCTCTTAAGTAATGTGTCTTTGTAGAAATTTGCCTATTTATAATTTTAAAATATTTTGTCATAAAGTATCCCTAAAATCCTCTAACCATTTTATACGCAAAGGACTTGTAGCTACATGCCTTTTTATTTCTTGTATTAGTTATTTTTATGTTTTTTCTTAACTTCGACAGGAGATTGACAATTTTATTAGTCTTTTCATAAAACCAACTTTGGTAGTGTTTATTTGCTCCATTTTGTTGGTTTTATATACAATAACTTCTTTTTTATTATTTCCTTCCTCCTACCTTCTTGAACTTAATTTGTTTTTTTTAAAACTTCTTGAGATAAATAGTTGGATAATTAATGTGTACATATTTTCTAATAAATGTAGTCAGGGCTATCATAGCATTAGCTCTAGCTCCTGAGTTTTGATATTTCAGTTTTATTATCATTTAGTCAAAATAGTTCCCAATTTCTCTGTGATTTCTTCTTTGATTCATGGGTAACTTTAATTACCAAATGTTAAAAAATTTTCTAATTTTTGATTTCTGATTTTTAATTTAATTTTACTATATACCCACAGAGACATAAATCTGTATGTTTTTATGTATTTTGGAATTGATATTATGTCTCACTCCATTGTGGTAAATAGTTTATGTGTCCTTGAAAAGAATATGTTTGCTTCAGATGTTGGGCAGAAGAAGCCTATAAATGTCAATTAGGTTTAAATTTTTAATCATACTTTTCAAATCATCTATATCTTTATGAATTTATTTACTCATCAATTTCTAAGTTTATAGTATCTCTCACTATGATTTTGAAAATACCTACTTTTATGTTTAGATCTGTTTGTTTTTCTTTTCATATTTTAAGTCTATATTTACATACATACAAATTTGCCATATTTTCCCTGCTATTATAAAATACCTATTTATTTTTAGTAATGTTTCCTGCCTAAAAGTCTATTTTCTAATATTAGAAAAACCAAAGCAGTTTCCTTAGTTTTTATTTCTTTTACTTCCAATTTTTCTATGTCCTTATAGTAATTGGTGGAAAGGGCAATATAACTGTTTTTATTTTTTAAATTTACCTTTTAAGTTGAATTAGTTCACTCCCATTTAATATTATTGCTCAGATGATTAAGTTTAAATCTACTCTCTTTCCATTTGTCTTCCCTGTCTTTTCTTCCTGTTCTCTCCTTTCTTGCCTTTTAAAAAATTATGGTTTTTAAAAATTATTTTATTCTACCGTTCTGTTAGCTTTTAATTTTACATTTTATATTATTTAGCAGTCACACTTAAAGCTTATAATATGCTTCTTTAATAATCTCCTTCAAGTTAATGCTTCTATCATTCCTAGATAATGCAGACCTCCAATTGATTCCATTCATTCATTTCCTGCATTTTGCATTATAATTGTCTTATATTTTATTTCTATGTGAAATTTAAACCCCACAGGCAGTATTACTACTTTTATTGTCATTATTAAAATTTCCTACACATTCCTTCCCTTCTGTTTACACTGTATGCATTTAAAATTTTTTTTGCCTGAATAATTCATTTCTAATGTTCCTTTTCTTTTTGAACTTCCTGGTAAAGTAATTTTCCAGATTTTGTTTATGAACCTGTATTAATTTTGTCCTTAATGTTGATGGACATATAGACTTTTAGGTAAGGATTAGTTTTAAGAAACATTTAAGGATGTCACTTCATGTTCTTCTGGCATTATTTTAGTTGCCAAGTCAGGTATCTCTACAACTTCTTGGAAAGTAATGTGATGTTTTCTCTGGCAGATTCTAACTTTTTTTTTGGTTTTTGGGTTTTTTTTTTTGTCTTTTGGCAGTCATGATTTTCAGCACCTGTTTACAATGTGTCTCGAGGTGTTCCCACCTCACCCCTTTTCTTTCTGATCTTGTGAGGCATGCATTGAGTATTGTGGATCTGCAGCTTGTTCTCACCCCCCCCCCCCCAAATCTCCACTGCTTCTTCCTCATTCTCTCTCATCTCTGTCTGGGATTCCAAGGATATCTATGTTAGATTCCTCACTAATGGTCTGTTTTATATTATTCACCCTTTTGTATCTTTTCCCATTTCAGGTTTCAGGTCACATGTTTTCAACAATGGGTCTTTTATTTCATTGAACTTCTCTTTTACTGTTAAACCACCTATTAAATTTTTAATTTCAGTTTTCCACTTTCTGCTTCTGCACATTCCCATTTGGTTAGTTTTTAACATTTGCTTCTAGCAATACACTAAATTTTTCCATTTTGTTATTTATTTTTCTTAACACAATAATCGCAATTGTTTGAAAGTCTATTTCTGAACAACAACAAAAAAGATTCAAGTTCACCTGTGGGCATGTTTCTGTTTTCTTTCTTGGTTTTCTTATTTTTCCCACATATACATTTATGATCGAAATGTCTAGAGACAAAAGTTGTGTAAAATGTCAGGCTTATTTATTTCCTTTTTCTCCAGGATCGTGGTTCCCCAAGGCCTGGCTGCATTGGCACTTCTCAATTATATTTTTCCCCTGCTCTGCGAGACAAGGACAAGCGGTGGAGAAAGACAGGCTTACTTCCACACACCTCTCTTTTTTCCAGGATCTTAACCTTTTAAGCCTGAGGTGTTTTATTGCTTTCTGCTGCCTTTAAACAGCTGTTTATTGATTTATCTAGCCTTTGACTTGTTCCTGTTGAAGATTTAATGCACTCCATTGTAGTCGGAAGTATAAGTTCCTCACATTAGTCTATGCTCTTTCTGTCTCTGCCAATTCACAGTGAGGGTACAGCATACATGTATGTTCATCTGGAAGCTGCATCTGTCTTACTTCTCTCTCAACTCTTATTGTGACTTGAACCATCTTATTGAAGATGGACATAAACCCTAAGTCTCTCTTTGGACTTAGTTAATGAAGAACATGTAGGGCAAGACTCAAAATGTTTACCTCCCATAGTCCTATTACTATTTCTTGCTTCAGCCAAAGCAACATGAATTTCTTTTGGAAGTAGGAGAGTTATTGTCGACCTCAGAGTTTTGGCTGTTTCTTTTGCCATGTCTTCAGCAAAGCAAAGATTTCCCTTATGATCTTTACTATATCTGAGAATTTTATATTATATATACTTACTAGGTTTTCCTGGGTCAGCCCTAGAGTATACACTTGCCTCTGAGATTTCATTAGCTTTTCCATTAAGGAACAAAGATCTCAACACATAAAATGTAAGTTGGTTAGTATTATGCTCTGGTTATGTTAATCACTTGCACTTCAGTTGGGCAAGTCTGTATAGCTCAGAACAATGGTTATCTAATTGTTTGCACTAAATGCAACATTTAAAAAAATAATGGGATAATAATTTCCTAATAAAAAACCCAATGAAACTGTCTACTTTTCTTTGTACTATGTAGATTTGTGAATAGGAACTGTTTGTTCATTTCTAGAGCTAGGTTTATCTTTTGATAGTCTAAGACATTATATAGTTACCATTTTTTTCTGCAAATATATTGCATTTCTGCAAAATGGTTGTAACCGATAAAGGCTACAAGGACAATTACAAACATAGTAAGACTAACCCCTAAGAGATTTTGTCTTAGAACTGGCAGAAGACCAGCCCAACCCAACATGGTGACTAATTTCACATTTTGGTAGCCCCTAAACTTATTATTTGCTCATTTGAATATATTAGCATAGGAAACAATACACCTGGAGCCAGTATTATGAGAGGCAGAAAGCCCATATAAGGACATGAAATGGTTGACAGCATCCTTCTGAGAAGTCTCCGCCCCTTTCTTGCAAAAATCATGAATATTCTTCCCCCTTACTGAATGACTACCCCTTGATTAAATGATCCTCAATAAAAGAGGTAAATCCCACTAGGGAGTGGCTGCTCCGTAGCTAAGGGTTATCAAATACATAAAATCCGTTTATTTGTAGTGTTAAGGGAAATCTGGCACTAACCCAAACTTTTCTTTTTCAGAACAGCAACATATCTTTTTTTCCCATTTTTAAAATCAGATTCCTTTCTATAAATCTGTTTCCAAGCAAAATTTATACCCTGATTTTAAAGCTTTGTAGAAATCCTCTGAACCTGAACAATAAATGGCTAGAGATCAGTGTTGGCTGTTTCCTAGCAACAAATTAAATGTGAGTACATTCTTGATATTCACGTGGTCTCCTCGCTTTAGAAAGCTGTTTATTAAGGTTAAGGTTAATTAACACTTCAGATAATAATAGAGATCCCCTAGTCACAGTCAAGAAATATTCCTGTAAATGTCATCAAATCAATTATAGGAAATACTGGCTATTTATGATCTCACTCCCAGCTACTTACTTACCATGAGAAGCTGTTTGTGTTTAGTCTTAGTGAATCATGTAAGTTTTTTTCTTAGAGCTACATTGTAACTAGCAACTGCCAAATACTAATACAATACTTGATGGAGGACCAAATGGGTAATTCTTTTCCTTTATATCTATTTATATATGACATATTCCATGTGGTGATACCAAGCATAGTAAAATCTAATTTGAAAAAATATTTCAGAAAGAAAATTAGAAAGTGGTAACCCCTAAATTCAAATGTTAAGACAAAGACGAACTACCAGGAAAACATGATATACCATATTTCTTTGAATCATAATGAAAATATTCTATTAAAAATTTGACAAAAATATCTACATGGAGGCATCTTTAGAACAAACTGGATATATAATGAATAGGTTCAGAGAAATACATTTCAATTTAGAAGATCAAGAATAAGCCCCAAATGAGATATTTATCTTGCAAGTGTTACATCCTTTTTTTGTGTTTTAATCAGAAAAATAATGAAAGAGAAATAATGACACTGTGCTATCCAAATACTTATGTCACTCAATGATCATTGTAATACATAGAACATTTTAGGTTCATAAAAGTGAAAGCTAAAAATCCTAGAGAAAAGGTATTTGATATGAAAGAATGTTACCTTTTATTTCATGTTGGCTTGCTTCTCGTCTTCTTTCCAGTTCTTTTCTGTCATAATTCAACCTTTTTAAGCACATAATTCCATACTGTAAACTTGTTCTGTTATTTAAAAAAAAACATTAAATTTACTCAGCAGGTGAATGTTCTTTGATTAAGGATAGTTAACACTTTGTACTACCTTTTAAGGCAACAGATTAATAAATTATATTTGTACTTAAATTCTTTATGTTATTTTATTTATGTATTTAAATGTATTGGGGTGCATTGGTTAATCAGATCATATAGGTAATAAGTGTACATTTCTATGATACGTGATCTGTGTGTTGCACAGTGTGCTCACAATACTTTAGTATTGGTGGAAAATAAAATTATAGTTATTCCAACTAAACACATAGTGTTTCCAAAGAGTTAAAAATCATTATTTGCAAAGTGAGGAAATAATAGTCTTGAAAATATCATGGATTATGTTGTTTATCCAAATGTCTTTATCTTCCATTAGGCTATTTTGACATAATCTGCACACAAATGAATATTTTATTCTTTTGAAAATAATTTAAAGAGTCACTATTATAGAGACAGGAAGGAACTGATACTCTCTTTTAAAGCTGATGAGAACAATCATATGATAACATAAATAAGTTAAGCAATGAGATAGAGAGCCAAATACTAAGATGAATAGCCAGCAACTGTAAGTGATACAGAAGTATGTGAAAGGAACAAGTCCACGGACATTGAAACTCTGGAAAGGATATTGGGAAGAGAAGAAAATGACTGATCCTTTAAGGATCAAGTGCAAACGAAGGGTTATTGAAGAAAATAGAGCATCATGAACATGGGATTGCAAATGAAAGTATAAATGTGTGGTGACCTTGAAATACAATGTCTGGGTTTGAAATCCTTGTTAGGAAATCAGGAGGAATAAGATTACATATAGAGACTGGAGTAATACTAAAGAAAGCTTTACATTCATTGTGAGTATGGAACACATCCAGGTGAGAGAGAATTATTAGGCAATTTTAACAAGAGAAAGGCAACAAAAATTTCTGGTTTAAGGAAGAATAATTGGGTAGCAAAGTAGGAGAGTGGGAAAATGGTTAAACCTAGGGGACAAGGAAATCAACCAAAGGGGTTGCCCAAATAATGGGCACCGTAAGGACAATTGCCATAAGTGTGAAAAGAAAGCTCAGAAACCAGAGACATTCAGGGAGAGGAAAGAAGGTTTGGTGATATTAGCTATAAGGGATGTGGAAGACTGCAGTAAGAAATCTTTACACTTCAAGAGTAGAGAACATTGATTATTAGAGATTTCTTAGGTGTTTAGAAATACACACAAATTTAGAAATACACACTGGCCAGGTTACACGTAAGTGTTAAATGCAACTCTAAAGCCTGCACTTTTAATAAAGACATGTTGAGCTCGATATTTCAGAATTAGAAGGAAATGAAAATAAATCTACATTAAGTGGGTGTTATAGACTGAATTATGTCCCCCCAAATTCATATTTAAATCCTAACCCTCAGTACTTTATAATGTGAGTGTATTTGGAGATAGGGTCTTAAAAGACCCTGGATGAAATTATTAGGGGCCTTTGGATTAAACCTTAATCCAGTCTTGCTGGGGTCCTCACAGGAACTGGAAATCTGGACACACAGACAGAGATAGGTGGACACACAGAGAGAAGACAACACGAGGACGCAGTGAGAAGGTGGTCATCTGCAAAGCAAGAAGAAGCCAATCTCTCTGGCACCTTCATGTTGGATTTTATGACTCCTGAACTGTGAGGCAATAAATATCTGTTGTGTGAGCCACCAGTCCGTGGCATTTTGTCACGGCAGCCCCAGCACACTAATTCCATGGGATACCAGGTAATGTTGATATAATAAGCATTATAGACATTGAGCTGCTTGAGGTTAAACCAATGGCTCTTGGCAAATTTCTGCTAAGCTTTTATATTATTACAACGATGTCTGTCCGATTTCCATTCATGGGCTGTAAAGACAATGAGGTGCAGTAGGTAGTCAGATGCTACCTGCTTTGAGCCAGAGCTGAGCATGGCTTAAGGATGAAGCTTGTGTATTTTCCAGAACAAACAAGAACCCTGCCGGTAGACTAATTTTATTTTTTAAAGAAAAAATTATTTGTAATAATCATTTCTAATGTAATATTAGAATGATTAAAAGTAGATCTAGTGAAGGATGGGAAGAACATGAGTGTGTTATATAAAATTCTAGTATTCAAAAGTCTAATGAAACCACTCAAAACTTGAGGGCCTAAATGTTCAGTGACAGGGAACTCATTACTTCACAGCGTGTGTGCTGTAGAGCAATTGATACAAAGTTCTACTAAACAAAAATCACTCACCTTAGTATCTACACCTATGTGTACTAGGCAAGGATTCATTACAAGCTCAACAGAGCAAATATGATTCTCTCATCACATAATTATACTAAAACACAAGAAACTTACCTGAAGTCTTCTCTTATCCAAGCTAAATGCCTTTAACTTCATCAACCTTTCCACCAGACTTTTACCACTTTATCAGTAACAATTTAATATGTACAAATTATTTTCATTTGAACTGTTTTTCAATCATGGATTGCCCATCCAGCATTTTAATGGTTTTTAAAAACTATGCTATATTTTTCTATACTAAATGTAACCCAACAGTGTTAAAAAAAACTATATTAGAATTCAAAATATCTCTTTATAAGTTTGATTAAAGAGCCCTAATTATTATTGTTTTATACTAATACTTTATCATCATTATATCTGATTTTAATACCATTTTAATTTTAGTCCCTAATTTAATGTTGGACACGATGTGACCAAATATAGTTTCCTAGGCCAAAATCATCTAAATTTACATTCATTAATTTATAATCACGATCAACTATATATAAAACAACCACAATCCAACTGACAATTTTCATATATGACATGGTCTTATAACAAGCATTTTTTCACCATCTGATGGTGAACAACTTGAAAAAGGAGTTGTATTTTATTCATCTGTGTGCTTACAGCTGCCTCACAACCCATTCAGTTTTTTTTTCTGAAAATTAATATACAAATAAGCAAAATCACTAAAATATTTATACAGAAACAAAAACACAAAGCATTCTTCAAAGCAGAATTCCTTCTCAAATCTTTTCTAGTTTTTTTCCTGTTATATAATTTATAATCACATATATTTACACTTGAAACTGGTTTTATTTTATTTTTAAAAAGCAATTTTTAGTATAAAAACATACACAGGTACATATCACAAAATGGGATTTCCTAAAGTTACAGTGAAAAAGACTTATGCTGTAGAAAATGAATGAATGTATCATTTTATAAGCTTTGGACACATAATATGAACACAGCTCTACATTAGATAGGCCCTGTAATTTTCTGCACAAAAATATTTTGCCCAGTAGATGTTCACAGGTGTTTTAAATAGCACATATTCTCTATTTCCTAAACAGCTCTTCTCGATTTAGTTATATGTACATGATTTATTGTTTACTTTAATGATTCTTTGGAAGACACTTACCGATGGAAACTATCCACCATTTTTAAATGGACACGGAGATCCTTTTTGGTTAGGTGATCTAACATTCTTGCATCTACCAAACATTCCATAAAATAGCTTCTGTACTGCGGTAACCCCAGGCTGGGAAGCCATTCATTTCCAATCCACTCGTGGTTCATATCTCCATAGGCCAGGGTCTGCAGAAAAACCGGACACTAGAATTGTTTTATAGCAGTCAAGTTTCTTTGCCAATAAAATGAGATGGTAATTGGGGGACACTGCCTATTGCTATAACTGATATTTAATTACTATGACATATGGAAACAAAGCAGAAATCATATTTAGCTTCTAAAATCTGATTTACTTTGGTACAGCCTGGAACTCTGTGTGTGCGAATTCAAGTACTTGTCTATAGGAAATGATGGTGTTTGTTTTGTATTCTCAAAAAATTACATTTTATACAAATATGCACCTTAATAAAAATTAGAAAGAATGGTATAATACAAATGCTGAGCTTAAAGATTCTTTATGTAGGTAGGTTTATTTATTTTATTTTTATTAGTTAGCTGATACCCCACCATTTCTTCTCTTCAATGGTATGACGTTGCTATGGCCTAGTGGCAACACTTGATGTGAAACTAGAAATCTCAGAAAATGAATAAAGAAAGGAACAACAAGGCTACAGACAGAATGCTGAATTTTATGTGGACAATTTACCTAGTGAAGCATGCAGCCATATTTCATAAAGATTATTGGAAAGAGTCTTTTTTAGAAATTAATATATACTTGAAGAAGCAAGTCATGATCAAAAACTAAGAATGATAGTCTAATTTTTTAATGTCACAGAATGAACTGATCTTATCAGATGCTGTTTATAATAGCCCAAATAAAAAGTGGCATCAACTATCACCTCTAAGCCAATTTTTTAGAAGGATTATTACTCTCTATTAATTGTATAGTATTTGTCCTTATCGAATGGCAAGTGTGATTATAACATATGATTCTAATAAAAATCTAGATGATTCCCTTTTTGTGTGTTTTTTTAAAATGATGAAATTCTTACCATATCAGAACCTAAAAGCAATGCTAATTTACTGAATGTTTAAATATAGCTCTTAGTATTAACTACTGAAATTTTCATTATAGTCAAATTTTTGAATCACATTAACTATAACACGTGTTAGACTCAGTGCTAGGTGATTTCCTCACTGTGCAAACATCACAGTGTGTACTTATACAAACCCACTGTATAGCCTGCCAGACACCTAGGCCATGTCATGCAAGTGGTACGTCACTGACTGAAACGTCCTTATGTGGTGCATGACTGCAATTCTTCCAGTTATATGACATGTGGAAATGCAACCAAGGTGCAACTTCCTTGCAAACATAGATTTGCTCCAAGTACATACGTTTGTCCTATATTGTCATCTCAATTAATGGGAGTAAGTTTCCACTTGCCATCTCAATGCTTACAATATCTCTCCAACCCCAATCCTTACACCCTTTCCAATATACTTTAAAGCAAATGTGATGCCAAATACATTTTTAATTCTCCCCCTTCCTGATATCCAACTTGAATGAATCATGATTAAATATATTCAGAGCTGATTTCAGAGAAACTTAAGTTACAGTTGATTCTTCTGAAGAGGGAAGGAGATTCCCTATTAAAAGAGACCAGTATGAAATGGTAATTACTTTCTTTGCAAAATATGGTGATTTAAAACATACATATATATATATATATATATATATATATATATATAAATCAAATATACATACTAGCCTTTATCTTAAGCTAAGGGAAGGTTTATAATATTGTGACATGCAACGGTTTCTTACTTTATATCCTGATAATGTACTAAGGATATTGTTTTAAAGGATTTGAATTTCCTACCTGGGCCCAGCTTCCTTCCTCAGATTCTTTCTGTGTTAGCAGCAGGGAGTGATTAATAAAGCAGATAAGTATAAATTAATTCTAAATGAATATAGTGAAATTTTTCTAGCAGAAGCAAAATTGTTATGAAAGTGTTAATTATGACAGAAAACTAAACAGAAAACTAAACTAAACTAAATATGACAGATTCTTATTCTGATCCACAGTAATCAATTTAGCAGTTCAAAAGCAACTATATACTGTATTTTGCTCTGTATAATGTGTAGTTTTTGCCCAAATTTTTGAGGAAAAAATAAGGATGTGCATTATACATGGATATAGTGCTTATATACCATGTGTAAAATAATGGGTATAATAATCCCATATATAATATGTACAAAAAGGTGAGTGTGCAGTGCACACAGAAGCACACTATACATGGCAAAATACAGGTAGTTCCTAGTTAATTCTAATTAAATGCATATATTACACATGAGATTTCCATGACACATTTGATTTGGTAATTCTAAACCTTTTTTAACCCTTAAACGTGTGTAATTTTTCAAATTATAGTAAAAATTTACTATAGTAAAAATTTCTGACCATATACATAAACCATATAATACACAAATGTGTATATATACACATATATTATAAATTATATACTCGTATAATACCTATTATACCCCTAGGCTATATAATATCCCATGTCATATTTGAGGTTCTTTGCTACACTCACGCACATAATATGTATGATGGAAATATTTTATACAAAGTAAATTAATAATGTGGAAAAGTACCTACATTCTTCTAAGATAGTTTTGTGATAATTAAGTAGATTTCAACAACAGCCCAAAACAAGTAAAACAAACAAATAAAAAAGACAAAAAGCTACACAACAAACTAAACCAGAAATGTAATTAGTACAAGACATTGGCATTTCTATTCATCATAAACTAGATATTTATATTTTCAAATAGTGATAAACCTAAGAGAACATTAGATTTGAAAAAAGGTTGCTAAGAATAAAATGCATGCAGTGCTCAACTTTGCATCTTTAAATGAAGAAATGACTATACGTAATACTGTATTTTTAAAAGTGGACAATTATAGTCAGAGTCACCAAGAATTTTTGTAAACCTGTTCTTTGAATACCAAATGAACAGAATGTTTTTAAGGGGGTGAGGGAGACAGATGATCAAATGCTGTATCTGAAATGGTGAAGTACAAAAAATGAAAGTATTTTATTAAGAATGAGTATTCAGTCTGAACTTTTCTATTACAAGTTTAATGGGGTTTGGTAATATGTATTACCTGTGAATGTGCCCAATATGAAGTAATATTTATTACTAAAGTTGTAAAATAGATGCATAAGTTATTATTATTAATTATTGTTAGCTCACTGCTTCATTTAAAAATGCCCAAGTGCACTACACTAAAACTATAACAAAAATATTAGTTATTATTGCAAAACACTACACAAATGACCTCGTTACTTCAAACTATTGTAAACAAAATAGTTTTACCATCCAAATAACAACTTTTCTTCATGTTTAACAGAGCCGTACAGACTAACCGTTTTCGCTGGAGCTGCAAGATTTTCCATTTCTTCATGGGTCACCCAGACGTTGCCTGAAGGCTGTGGGGAGCCCCCCAGGGAAGCGGAAGCGGCAGGGTCCGGGGAGGGCAGCAGTGGCAAAGGAGAAAGGCAGCGCCAGGGTCAGTGAACCGCACCACGGCAACAGTACAGAGCTCCTGCCTCTACAGCATGCACGAGAGAGACAGCATTGCTCCTGGCTCATGGCCCCCTTTCCTTCTACTTAAAAAAAGATTAAATAGAAAGAAGCATTCTGTGAAGTTCATGTGAGATAGATTTAAAATGATACTTCTGCGTTTATTAATTAGAAAAAGGTTTAATTAAAATTTCCATTTCAAAGGTATGTGGCCGTTGGGTCCGTGGAGGACAGATTAAATTTGAATTGTAGAAGAATGTATTTTTTAGTTTTTTCTTCAGAAAACAAAGGTATGTGTGTTTTGCTGTGTTATTACTAACATTGTGTTCACAGAGTTTTGATTCTTCAGTGTCCTTGGGAAGAGAAAACTGGTTGTTAACACAAAGCTGAAAGCACAGTTATAACCTGCCTGGGGAGCAATGCCAGCTTTGCCCAAGGGTGCCTTTCCCTTCACGTTTCAGTAAATGCGTTGTTTTCCTTTATTCTCAGAGGAGAAGAGAAAGTGAAATCCTGTTTTTGACTTAACAAGAGGTGTTTTTCAGCCTCACTAAATACCATCAGAAATTACAAAACCCATTTCCTAACTTTTCAGCAGTCTCCTACGTCATTATAGAGAAGAACATGATGTAAAAATTTCCCTCCATCAGGTATATTCTATTATCACGTATCATTTACTTTCTAAATCAAATCACCTATGATATTTGTTCTATACTCTGAATTATGAACAATCTCAAAGCCTAAGCCCACTTAGTAACACAAAGGATCTGGCATGTCATCGATGATAATGGCCATTGGAAACCACTTCTCTTCAAATTCCACCATTTCATGGGGAAGTCCTCACAGGCATTGCAAATTTGTCCAAGTACAGCACTCCTCTAGTTCCGATGGAACTTACATTCTACCTGTTGCTTGTGACGTGTTCTGGGAGATGTCTAGTTTTACAGAAATGGAAGTAGCAAAACTGATACTCTAACATAAGTCACCAACATAATTCCCTCTAGCCTTTGCTACCATTTACACAAGTGCCATGTTTGAATTTCCTTCTATTATAAATCATGCAATTTAACATAATTTTTAAAGTAGCTAAATATAAACTAAAGTTATATAATTTGATAAAAATAAATTTTATATATAAAAGAATTACTCATACATGCAAATTGAGTAATACAAGGGAGTTGAATAGTATTTGTAATTGTAAGTAAATCATATGTAATTGTAAGTAAATCAAAAAATCCCCAAATAGCCATAATATATATGCATAGAATTCTCACTCTCCTACCATTTGGAAATTAGAGTATGTCTGATTTTCTTCTATAGGATAAAACTGCACACACCTGTAAAATACACTTAAAATACAAGAGGTATCCATGACATTAGAAGTCCTTCCCTTAAGTGGGGAGGGTATCATCCCTCCTTGGTTACTGGGAATGATCTTTATTATAAACAGGAAATTCATATCACTATATGAATCATTGAATCATTTGGAAGAAATTTCTCTTATTGACTTTATGAGGAGTACTATACTAAAAAGAATTTTACACTCATCTGTAATATTTTTCACACTCAGTGGTCACAGAGCTTTGCTTAGTGCTTGCTGCATCTTCAAAGTGAGCTTCAGCAATGATTACCTGATAGGAAATTCATTTAAGTGAGTATGTATTTACAATGATTTCTGTAGCCTCTAACTTGATTGTGAATTCAAATAATGAAGCTTTCCCTCCTCATTTAAGAAAGTTGACCTGCTTTGCTCTTCTTTCTCAAAATACTGCAGCTATTTAGGGTTGTTTATGGTTCCATATAAATGTTTTAAGTGTTTGTTCTCTATCTGTGGAATATGCCATTGGTACTTTAATAGATATTGCATTGAATCTATAAATTGCTTTGGGTAGTATGGACATTTTGATGATGTTAATTCTTCTGATCCATGAACACAGTATGTGGTTCCATTTGTGTTTTCCTTAATTTCTTTCTTCAGTGTCACGTAGTGGGGTAGAGGGAAAAAGAGAGAAAACTACTTGAACAGCAATAAAAAATGTAAAAAAAAAAAACCCCCAGAAAGTTGACCTGTATTATCTTATTCTTTTTTATCTTTATTTTATTTATTTATTTATTTTTTAAATTTTATTTAGTTATTTTTCAAGTACAGTTTTTTGTCTATTTCTCCCATCCCAGCCTCCCCTGCCCCGTGCTCCCCACCTCCCTCCCATTTCCACCCCTCTTAGTTATTGTCCCTGTGTCCTTCATACTTGTTCCTCTAAATCCCTCCCATTTTTCCCCTTAAATTCCCTCTCCTCTCTCCTCTGGTCGCTGTCACCCTGTTCTCTATTTCAGTGTCTTTGTTTTTATTTTGCTTGCTTGTCTGTTTTGTTGTTTAGCTTCCTGTTAAAGGTGAGATCATATGGTATTTGTCTTTCAACACCTGGCTTATTTCTCTCAGCATAATGCTTTCCAGTTCCATCCATGTTCTTGCAAAGGGTAGTAGCTCCTTCTTTCTCTCTGCTGCATAGAATTCCATTGTGTATATGCACCACAATTTTTTGATCCATTCATTTACTGATGGGCACCTAGGTTGCTTCTGGCTCTTGGCTATTGTAAATTGTGATGTTATGAACATTGTGGTGCATAGGTTCTTTGAAATTGATGTTTTGGGGTTCTTAGGATATAATCCTAGCAGTGGAATTGCTGGATCAAAAGGCAGGTCAATTTTTATTTTTTTGAGAAAATTCCATACTGTTTTCCATAATGGTTGTACCAGTCTGCAGTCCCACCAACAGTGAACTAAGGACCCCTTTTCCCCACAACCTCTCCAACATTTGTTGTTGGTTGCTTTGTTTATGATAGCCATCCTGACTGGTGTAAAGTGGTATCTCACTGTGGTTTTAATTTGCATCTCTCTGATAGCTAGCGATATTGAGCATTTCTTCATGTGTCTCTGGATCCTCTGTATGTCCTCCTTGGTGAAGTGTCTGTTCAAGTCCTTTTCCCATTTTTTAATTGGGTTGGTTGTTTTCTTAGAGTGGAGTCGTGTAAGTTCTTTGTATATTTTGGAGATTAAACCTTTGTCTGAGGTATCATTGGCAAATATGTTTTCCCATACAGTTGGTTGTCTTTTTAATTTAATATTGTTTTCTTTAGCCACGCAGAAGCTTTTTATTTTGATGAGATCCCATTTGTTTATTCTTTCCTTTATATTCCTTGCTCTAGGGGACATATCAGTAAAAATGTTGCTGCGTGAAATATCTGAGATTTTCTTGCCGATGTTCTCCTCTAGGACTTTAATGGTGTCACGGCATACCAAAATAAATTCAAGGTGGATAAAAGACTTAAATCTTATTCTGTTCATCATATATGTGTAACCCCGCTCACTTTTCCTGAAAGTCTATATTTGCCCATCTGCTACTATATTCCAGGATGGGCAAGGTGCTGGAAGCTATGGTTTGAATCTGTATCTCTATATGCAAAATGAGTACATATCCAGGGCAATTTTCTAAAGTATAGTTGGCAAACTTTCTGAAATTATGTTAGTTGCTCTCCCTTAATCTGTAATTTTACTTGTGAAAGGGCGCTGTCCCTCTAGAATCTTGTACAGTTACTCATAACATAGCTTCGACACAGCTGAATTAATTAGCCATTAGACAAGGTGTTAACAAGTTTGTTTTATAAGCAAGCCCACATATAGGAAGTTATTCATATTTCTTCCTTCTCACCACGCATTTAAGGGATGGAACTTTTGTCTAGCTGATTCATAGAGTGGTGATTTAGAGCACTGGAGTTTCAGCAAAGAGCTTGTCCTAGAGAAGAGCTAGAGTGGGGGTGGCTTGGAGCAACCAAAGGAGATGAGGACACTGGTGCATTGGTCTGAACTGGTCTGAACTGGATAAAGAAAGTACAAAAAATAGGTTGGAAAAGCATAAAGTACAAACATCATATAGCTTGGTTGGGGGTCTCTGAGAGCCACTAAAAATCATCTCACCGCCCTTGGCTGTCTGTGCTGCAACCGCCAACATCTGAGCTGGAGAATGCAAACCATTAGTCATATTTTGTGGCTAATAACACCTGTGTCTTAACAGGTAGTTTATAAAATTCCAATTATCTGGTAATTTAACAAATTATAATCAGGGGACATGAGTTCTACCAGTTCCACTTTTAACTACCCTAGGACATTTCCTAAACTTCTGAATTTTAGGTTCCGTTTATGTAAAGCGGGCTAAAACTACATACTTCATACTAGAAAAACTCTGAAAAGTTTACATTATGATATCCTATATTCTGTTACATGCTGGGACTAGGATGAGACAGGTGAGGTGCCAACTGGCCTAAAGTTAAGGAAGCCCACTTTCAGGCTTTTGCAAGTACAGGGTTGGCACCTGACAATATTTCCTTAAATTTTGCCTCCCCTTAGTCCAGACAGGGTAGACTATTTAAATAGTATTATCAAATGAGAACTGGGAGAAAAATCCCTAATGGATGGGAAGTATTAAAGTACTCACCTAATTAAATCATTCAGAAGAAAGTTATGACATAAAAATAAATTTTAAAATAAGCTTAAGAAATATAATTAAGGGGAAATAATTCATTCTCCTGCTGCCAGAAAAATAAAATAAGTAAAGTAGCCAGACCTCAGAATAATCCTAAAGCTTACCTAGCAGGAAGTAAATTCTGTTACCACCTATGTCTTTTTGATTTTTTTTTTTTTTTTTTACTTTATGGTTGAATTACAAAGTACATTGACTTGAAATTTACTTCTCACACTCAAATGTGAATCTATGGCCTAGATTTACATTTTCCCTTTTACCAATCCATGTGTCTCATTAAAAGAAGAGAAGGAAAACAGATAAGAATACAGGAAGCAGGAGATGTACTTGTTGGGATTACAGACTCTGAGTCAAAACCACCTAGGAGTGTG